CCCCTATCAGTGCTCATTATGTCACGCCTGATCCCTGCGTATATATTAATGCAGATTTAGAACAAGGGCATAAACTCATCGTCAACCTTGTAACATATAAATAAAAGTACATTATCTTGAAATGTGTGCGTAACCTTCTCCGTGCTCCATTCACCCTTTTACAAATGTTTGCAGTGCAGATGAAAAGTAATTGAGTCCAGCGATCTTCAGCCCGAGGGAGCAGAGGACTTCCTGTTTCCCTTTGAAATGTTTTTTACTCAATAACTGTCAGATTCACATGAAAGTCCGATTTTTCTCAAACTGCCTGAAGCCAAGTGTATAGAAACCTTAAAAAAACCTCCTATATTTACACTTTTCTATTATTAACTTACTGCTCCATGACATTGTGTTTTTTGGGAGACACATGCATTTGAGATAAACTTTGTTTTAAAAGAGAGATGAACTAACCATCAGCACGAATCCTGCGGGGATTTAGTTTTTGTTGTTGAACTAAAGTTTAATTACACATTTTGTTGGGATTTTTAACATCTCTGAAACCATGCGTCATAAAATGAAAAAGGAGGAAACTTCACCAAACAGTTGCGGCGTGGTTGTTGGCAGTTAGCGGCTGTCGCTAGCAGAAATAGCTAAAAAGAGGGTGATGCATCAAATGCATCAAATGCATGCTTGTGATTGCTTTGGTTGCTAGCAGATTGTTGTGGTTGCACTAGCTTGCATGAAAGATGGCAACTTGTCTGCAAGTACACGCCTACTATTTTTGCAGGACTGGACACAGGTGCCAACAACCTCCAGTAACGATTGTTTACCGGTTGAAAAATACTCTTTCTCCTGGCAGCCGGTGGTTGGCAGGCAGTCTGCAGCTCTCGCCCTGTGTGATCGGAGCTTGCAGAAAAAGGCACGTCATTAACTGTATCTGTAATTCCAGTGTAAAGACTGGGGATATTTCCCATAAAAGTTAGCTACTGGTACACTGGCAAAAGTCAATGCTCATTGTTATCAAGACTATTATTAGAAATTATACTGAAATAGGAACATGTGTTGCTAGTGAAGGAAATTAGCCAGGACTTGTTTCAGGATTTCTAATTCAGCTTGTGGAGTTGCTTGCGTGTCAGGGAGGATCCAATGACCACTGCACTGATTTAAACAACGCCTTTTTATTTTGGCATCTTTGAAAACTACTCCATGAACGGCAGTTTCAGATTCAAAATGAAGAAAAATATAAATACTCAGGATGGATGTTAACCTCAGTGCGTAGCCAGAGACAGAAGCACAGAGCGCTCAGCACAAACACAGGGCTGGAAGAACTGCCGCCAGAGCAACGCCGCCCGGTCAATCACAGAGATCGATCAGCAACAGCCCGCTGGATGAGATGAGCGATGGCTAATGAGTAATTATTTACTTTCTTAAGTCTGTTTACTGCGAGTTAACAGCACCAGCTGCTGTTCCTTTCTTTTTCTTTTTGGGTATGCCCGATCAAAACACTTCTCCTCAGCCCTGTGCGACATCCCGGTCTCTGCTTTCTGTTTCTTTGTACTTCTCTGAGCGTCGTTCAGCACGTTCTGTGGAGCAGAAGAACCAAAACAAAACAAAAGCTCACTCGTAGTTGCACAGATTTACACACGGCACACTTTGAGAGAATGCAAAGACCTCGGGTCCAACAGAACGACAACAACAACAACAACAAAACCAAATGAAACGCAGGTCTGTGTGTGAGCGGGACATCTGAGCTCGGCAGGAGAGACGGGCGTAGGAAGGAGAAGGCAGAAAAACAAAACCAGCTTGTTCTCCACAGGCGAACATTGTATACATTTCTGTACATGCTAACTCAGTGGACATCCTCTAACACTGTTATTTTTTTTTGCCCTTTTTGGTATAAAAACACATACTGATGTACAATATAAAAAGAGATTTTCCTTTTTGTAAAAGAGCAGTGTTTCTCTTCTGTCAGTGTGAATCATCTAATGCTGCAGCGACAAGGTTACATTATTTACATATACAACCGTATAAAAAAGAAGAGTTCCTCCTGTGTACATGTAGTCAAAAAACAAATACATCAGTTAGGTTCAGTTTTAGTGGTGAAATATTTGTGAAGGTCCTTTAATATACAGCGACCGAGAAGCTGGAGACAGCAGGAAGGTTGGTACACCCGACTCTGGAAAAGGATGTGACACACGCAACAACTGAGACATGAATAAAATAAATGCTGCGCACTACTGCGACTGCGTTTAATAGGAAATGTCGAGTTCCTTTTCGGTGCATCGATGAAAGATCTTCACAACTTTGCACTTCCAGTTATTGCATCTTAAAATGTGCTTTAAGATGTAAAATGCCTCGATTTGTGCCACATTTACACATCACAGGTGAGCGATGTTTTCATACCACCGGCTGGCTGCCCGACCCAAACGGAAACAGAAACCGAGGGGGAACTCAACGCATCGTCAGTGAATGCTTTTGCTGATGTATTACTACAGCCTTGCAGATATGGTAATTAGGCAAGCTTCCATACTTGCTGCCGCAGATTTAATTCTGCAGCCAGACAATATTGATACTGCACAATTCTGCCAGGCTTGATGGAAAACACTTTCTATGTTAAATTGAAGATAGTCTAGATAGCTTTCGACAATATCTGTGCAGTATCGTAGGATGGTTTTGGGAATTTCCTTCTGATCTCAAAACACTACATTGAACTGACACAAAGACCGAGTGATGCACACGAGATGTCCTTTGGTGCCAGCGGCAAAAGTGAGCCTGGTCTAACCCACAGACAGACAGTATGAAAGATTGGCACACCAACTGGATCTGAAAAGCAAAGTCACCCCAGAAATAGGGCTGTGCGATATGACCAAAATCTCATATCCTGATATAAGACATCTATCGTCCGATAACGATATAAATCACAAAAATGTAACATTTTCTGTAAATTCTGTGAATCTCGGGCAGCTC